CCTCTGCCTCGCTATGCTGCTGCTGCCACTGCTGTGTTCACTTGCTATTGCTACGTTCATGTTCCTGCAGCTGTGTTTCATGTTGCTGCTGCTCGCCTGACCCACCACCACCCCAGCTTCCACCCCACCACCACCCCAGCTTCCTCCCCAGCTTCCACCCCAGCCTCCACCCCAGCTTCCACCTGTAGGCTCGGGGGATAGTTATCTAATCATCACTCAATGTTCTTTGTAAATCTGTGGAGTGATGAGGCCCGAGCCTAGACCCCAAACTCAAACTATATGCTGCTTCTAATAAACATATTAAGAAACACGTGAGTTGTCTGACTGAAATACATTTAAAACATATAAATGATGCTAAATTATACATAAACATTTACTTACAATAACTGAACTGCAGAAAATGCAAACCATAGCAGAAAAAGTTAATAAAAAGTCGGTCTCAAAGACGGGACAGAAGAAAAATGTGATTTTAGGGGGTTATAGTTCTAATTGATGTTGTGAATAACATTTTGAAACCATTTTAAATAGAACTTTACCTGTGAGATCTTTTGTAACGCATTTCTTTGAAGCAGGAATACACTAAATTAGATTTAAAACTGGAAAGAGCTCAAGCCTTGAGCTTTAATATGTTTTGTATTTGTGTAAATTATTTCTTTTAGCAGTTCACTGAAATGAAAAAGCCAGTGTTTCAGTGTTTTGATTGAAAACTTTCCCTCAGTTATTGGAAAATATAATTGCAGACAGTTAGTCATTCCAGGCTTAGTCTGCAACGCGCTGTTCTTACTGTGTCAAAGGGACTGAATTCAGATTTTAATTTCAGAGCAGAGAAACTGAGCAGTTGTTGTTTTTCTGACAACATCGTCACTATGTTTTTTTTTTAACTTGGCGCGCAGCCGAAACTAAAGAGGAAGGAGCTGCTGTCAATAATCTGACTGATAGTACAGTGTGAGGAAGCTGCGAGCCGTTATTTGTCTGTCAGCCAAGACATTCAGAGTCAGATTCCGTTTTCTGCCAAGTACGTGCTCATACAAAGGATTCATCTGGAAGACATGCTCACCATGGAATAATACACGAGCGAAAAACAACAGCTGGCACACCATTATGCATCTGTCTGCGTGAATGTAAGGTATCCAAAATGCAGGCTATTTAGAAAATTGACATGTTCACCTTAGCTTGCATTTGTTTTTCTCCACTGGAGGACGTTTTGGAGAAAGTTCCATGAAAGGAAAACAACAGACGACCTTCAGGGAGAAGAAACAAGAACGGATAAATACATATCTTATGCATAAACATGAGTATTTTGGAGACGCACTGATTATACAGGGTGCTTAAAGTTTTTGCAACAACTTTCTGTCCCTCAGTGTGTTTCCAGTTACTGTTTTCTTTTCAATTGAAAACATTGTATTTTAGAATAATAAGATACAAATAAGATGCTTTTAGGACTTAATCCCGACAAAAAAATTCTTTGCAGCCTACAGAGTTTTTCTCTGAATGCTTCTACTTCCTATGTTCTGGTTTGACTTTTTTGCATGTGGTTTTGCTGCTCCGAGCTCCCGGCTAAGTTAGCTAACTGCTAACGGAGCTAACGGAGCTAACAGAGCTTACTGCTGACAAAGCTAACAGCTAACAGCCGCCTATTCAGGTTAATGTTTTTATTTGTGTAGGTAGATTTTGAATTTGAAAGACAACGTACCCATTGTGACTCATGTTTCAAAATAACACCAACAAAAGGCACATCTTCAAAAAGTACCCCATGCTCCATCACAATTAAAAACTATCTGAAGGTAGCTACAGTTAGCAGCTTAGCATTAGCTAAATATGATCCAGAGCTCTTTATCATGTGACTGTACGCTCCCAAACATCACGACTACAGTGTTACCCATCGCTGCCTCATTGTCCCCATACAGACAGATAAGTTCAAGTTTTAGCCTATCTTAGCATACAAACTGAAACCAGGGGGAAAATGCTAGCCTAGCCCTAGCGTCATCAAAATGTAAAAAACCATATGCTAAATCGAAATGCTAAATAAGAAAGAAAAGCCTTCCGGACAACACTGTGCTCAACAGCAGGTCTAAACCACAGTTGATTCAGAGTGTGTGCGTGTGCGTGTGTGTGTGTGTGTGTGGTGTGGTGTGTGGGTGTGTGTGGGTGTGGTAAGGCAGGGGTTGGACCGCCCAGGGCAGCGCCTGCAGGGTTGAAGTGGAAGTAAGGCAGAAACAGTCTCTACTGATGATACACAAACACAATGTACACACCATCACACACACTCACCCTATGATTTAGTACTTCTATATAGGACACACACACACACACACACACACACACACACACACACACACACACACACACACACACACACACACACACACACA